TTGAGAGGACGCTTGAGGAGCTCAGGCTCAAGCCTAAGCTTCTCGCCATTACGGGAGACAACGCCGGCAATAACGGCACGCTCTGTCAGTCTTTGTACGATTCTCTCAAGACCAAATTCGACGACAAGGTGAGCCCAATAGGGAGGCCCCGCATGCGCTTTCACGGCAGGAAGAGTTGGATCCGCTGTCTAGCTCATATTACCTCGCTCATTTGTGAGGGCGTCTTGCAAGATCTCAAAGCAGGCACAGCGAAGGAAGCCAAGAAGATGCTTGACAAGTGGGACGAAGAGAATAAAAGCAACAACTACACCATTCCGGGAGACTCTAGTCGAAGTGGGATTGCCAAAATCCGCCTCCTCAATCTCTGGATGTTGAGATCCGGGTCTAGGAGCAAGACTTCAAAAGCATGCCGCGCACACTACCGGAAGCCAACCTACGATGTCGACACTCGCTGGAATTCGGCCTACGACATGATTGACCAATTCCTCGAGCTTGAGGCAGAGTATACTGAGTTCGTTGATACTCACCCGCAAGTCAAGTGCCTCCTGCCCTTATCAGAAGAGATTGTCGCTCTCTATCAACTGTGGAAGGTTCTGAAGCCGTTTAAAGACCACACTCTGAAAGTCTCCGAAGTTATGCCGCCGATCTCACAAAGTCTCGATATCTATTGGGATTTGGAAGCTCTCCTTGATGATGTAGTCGAAGGAGTTGGCGACTTTACAGACCTTGATATGTCCATTCGAGACGCCTTCTCGAAGGGCAAAGCAAAACACGTTACTTATATGAAGAAGCTTGACGATCAAATGATGCTATTCGCAGCTCACATCCTGGATCCGCGTTATAAAACTCACCAATTGGAAATGATGATACCGGATCAATACTCTGAGATTATGGCTAAAGTCAAGAAGTATTTCAAAACGGAGTGGCCGGAGCTAGCAGCATTGAATGCCACAAACTCAACTATGAGCCAATCCAGGCCAGCTGAGCGTCCTCAAGGAGTCTCCATTGCGCAATGGAGAGCCATCCAAATGAAGAAGGCGAGGGAGGCGGAGACGGGCGCGGCGATCCCTATTTCGGAGCTTGAACGGTGGCTTGCAGCTCCTCGAATAGAGTTCGACGAGTCTATTGCAAAGTCTCCAGACTTCCTACTGAAGTGGTGGAAAGAACACAAGGTCGAGTGGCCACTTTTGGCTGCGGCGGCGCGTGATCTTCTCTCTGTCTCTGGCTCTGAAGTTGACGTGGAACGCCTCTTCAGCGGTTGTAGAGACGAATTCGGTATCCGCCGTCACGCCTTGAAGGCAGATACGGTGCGAGTACTAACACTTTTACGGAGTGCTTATACTCAGGAAGATAAGATCGATCAGGCGTTGATCAAGGCGGCCATGGAGTATGACATCCTGCCCTTTGCCAATAGTATTATTTGGAGACCAGACCACATTCCGGGCAAGCTGGAAGATGGTATGTATGGATATACCCTCATTATATATGTAGGTATATGCTAATCTGTGTTCAGGCGAGAATCCTCCTCAACCTCTTCCTCCCACCGAGGCTCCCACCAACCCCTACCCCAAACCTCCTGCATCCCAAGCCGATAAGTCTGCGATATCAACCCCCTGTCTAGATACAATGGAGGCTTCGGAGGATTGGGGCTCTAAGAGTGTAGCCGTGTACAGTGGCGGATTCGAACGCGTTGTACCGACGTATTTTGAGGATTCGGCAGAGCTTTGAAAGTGCTTATTTTCAGTCGATTTGCCTAGGACAGGCGGATCAGTATTTATGTAAGTTAATTTTTGTAGTATTCGGGATTATCGACTTCTTAGAAGGCTATAACTTAAAACTATATACTACTTATTGGCGTTTTGAGGCATCTTTGCAATCGCTCAGGTACACACCAAATTCACTTCGTTTAGGGGATCCCTTCAAACCATTCATGAATGGCCTGAATTGGCCCAAACCCAACTTGAATCGCGAAAATTGGAGCTTGAAGATTTTGAATCAAGATCCAAAAAATTCAATTCATTTGATTCATCCTTCATTCAAAATCTTCAAAATCTTCACCTTCGTCTATCACCCCTATCGACAGATTTAACGGCCTGACGGCCATGAAAGAGCAAATTCAGCCTGGTCAGCGCTTGTCCAAGAATCAGGAAGATAAATTGGCTTTCTGGATTCTTCGTCAGGAGTCTCTGGGATATGCTCCGTCCCACAATCAGACTCGCGCTTGCGTCATGGGCTTGTTAAGACATCAAGGCGAACAACCAAAATTAGGACGCAACTGGGTAGCCAGATTCATCGAGCGCCACCGAGGCCTTAAGACTAAGATCGGTAGACGTCAGGAAGCTAATAGGTTTGAATCCTTCACGCCTAAGGCGGTTCATTGGTACTTCGATATCAGGGAGGCCAGTACGGCTGGATTCGGCCTGAGAACATTGTTAACGTTGACGAAGGAGGCATCATGATCGGTTTTGGCAAGCCGCCATTTCTCTTTCTCTTTATTTTTGAAATTTGACTAACTAGACTCTCTTCGTTAGGGTTGGATAGCCTGGTGGTCAAGCGCGGACCCAAGGCGAAAGGCTCTTCTCAAGGGACCACAAACTCGAAATGGACTTCGTTTATCGAAGCTATCACTGCGGACGGCCGCTCCTTGACTCCTGGCATAATATTCAAGGAAAGGAACTCCAAAACAGTGGTTCCTTCATGAATTCAAGAAGATAGCGAACTGGCATTACATAACTTCACCAAACGGGTGGACTGATGACCACATTGGTGTTGAATGGCTTGAAAGGGTCTATTTGCCCCAGACCAAGCCTGCCGAGGAGTCTGATGCCAGATTAATCATTCTAGACGGCCACGGGAGCCATGCAACGGTACTGTCTTTGCTTACCTAGCCAAAGGTGGCTGCTAACCGAGCGAAGGACGAATGGATGGCTACATGCTTTTGAACAACGTTTACTGTTGCTACCTTCCAGCACACTGCTCTCACGGCCTCCAGCCATTGGACAATGGAGTATTCAACGCTTCCAAAGCTGCATATCGACGAGAGTTGGAAAAGTTCGCTTCCCTGACTGATTCTGCTCCGATGGATAAGGTCAATTTCATCAGAGCCTACGCCAAGGCTCGTGAAGTGGGAATGACGAAGAATATACTCTCCGGCTGGAGAGTTACTGGCAATGGCCAATTTCGCGAGCCAAAGCTCTACGGCACCCAGAAATCCAAGAGGATAGGCGGAATGACAGCCCAAAAAGGACTCCGGAGCCGGCGCCGTATTTTGGCTCGGATGATACACCAAAAACCAGCCGTCAGATTCGCGATCTTGGGCTAAACAAAACACCAAAGACACGGAGACGGTATAATGTGATAGCCAAAGGGTTTTAGACTCAACAACAGACGTTAATGGCGCATGCCACGAGAATTGCTGGCATGGAGGAGGAACTGGCACGCCTGAAGAGAGGGAAGAAGAGGAAGGCTATTCCGAATCCCAATAAACGTTTCATGACTCTGAGCGAGGCTCTAGCCTCTGGAGAGGCCAATCCGGAAAAAGGAAGCGAAAAGAAGCATGTTGTGGTGAACCATAGCTCTTCGGGGGAGTCAGGGCCAGAATCGGAGGCTGCTTCAGTTATTGAAGTCAGAGAAGAAACCATACTACCTCAGCGCACCACACGATCGGGAGGACGGCCAAAAGCCCTAAAATCCAATAGATACATCAATTGTAAATTTATACCAGGCAACCATTTGCAAATAACTTTTATTTTGGTCAAGTTGTGTGTAAGTGAAATAGTTAAGTTTTGGTGGTGGTTTTTTTTTTTTGCCTGGCGAAAGGGTGGGGTTGGCGAAAGGGTGGTGGTGCATGGTAGTATATAGTTTTAAGTTATAGCCTTCTAAGAAGTCGATAATCCCGAATACTACAAAAATTAACTTACATAAATACTGATCCGCCTGTCCTAGGCAAATCGACTGAAAATAAGCACTTTCAAAGCTCTGCCGAATCCTCAAAATACGTCGGTACAACGCGTTCGAATCCGCCACTGTACACGGCTACACTCTTAGAGCCCCAATCCTCCGAAGCCTCCATTGTATCTAGACAGGGGGTTGATATCGCAGACTTATCGGCTTGGGATGCAGGAGGTTTGGGGTAGGGGTTCAGTGGGAGCCTCGGTGGGAGGAAGAGGTTGAGGAGGATTCTCGCCTGAACACAGATTAGCATATACCTACATATATAATGAGGGTATATCCATACATACCATCTTCCAGCTTGCCCGGAATGTGGTCTGGTCTCCAAATAATACTATTGGCAAAGGGCAGGATGTCATACTCCATGGCCGCCTTGATCAACGCCTGATCGATCTTATCTTCCTGAGTATAAGCACTCCGTAAAAGTGTTAGTACTCGCACCGTATCTGCCTTCAAGGCGTGACGGCGGATACCGAATTCGTCTCTACAACCGCTGAAGAGGCGTTCCACGTCAACTTCAGAGCCAGAGACAGAGAGAAGATCACGCGCCGCCGCAGCCAAAAGTGGCCACTCGACCTTGTGTTCTTTCCACCACTTCAGTAGGAAGTCTGGAGACTTTGCAATAGACTCGTCGAACTCTATTCGAGGAGCTGCAAGCCACCGTTCAAGCTCCGAAATAGGGATCGCCGCGCCCGTCTCCGCCTCCCTCGCCTTCTTCATTTGGATGGCTCTCCATTGCGCAATGGAGACTCCTTGAGGACGCTCAGCTGGCCTGGATTGGCTCATAGTTGAGTTTGTGGCATTCAATGCTGCTAGCTCCGGCCACTCCGTTTTGAAATACTTCTTGACTTTAGCCATAATCTCAGAGTATTGATCCGGTATCATCATTTCCAATTGGTGAGTTTTATAACGCGGATCCAGGATGTGAGCTGCGAATAGCATCATTTGATCGTCAAGCTTCTTCATATAAGTAACGTGTTTTGCTTTGCCCTTCGAGAAGGCGTCTCGAATGGACATATCAAGGTCTGTAAAGTCGCCAACTCCTTCGACTACATCATCAGGAGAGCTTCCAAATCCCAATAGATATCGAGACTTTGTGAGATCGGCGGCATAACTTCGGAGACTTTCAGAGTGTGGTCTTTAAACGGCTTCAGAACCTTCCACAGTTGATAGAGAGCGACAATCTCTTCTGATAAGGGCAGGAGGCACTTGACTTGCGGGTGAGTATCAACGAACTCAGTATACTCTGCCTCAAGCTCGAGGAATTGGTCAATCATGTCGTAGGCCGAATTCCAGCGAGTGTCGACATCGTAGGTTGGCTTCCGGTAGTGCGTGCGCGGCATGCTTTTGAAGTCTTGCTCCCTAGACCCGGATCTCAACATCCAGAGATTGAGGAGGCGGATTTTGGCAATCCCACTTCGACTAGAGTCTCCGGAATGGTGTAGTTGTTGCTTTTATTCTCTTCGTCCCACTTGTCAAGCATCTTCTTGGCTTCCTTCGCTGTGCCTGCTTTGAGATCTTGCAAGACGCCCTCACAAATGAGCGAGGTAATATGAGCTAGACAGCGGATCCAACTCTTCCTGCCGTGAAAGCGCATGCAGGGCCTCCCTATTGGGCTCACCTTGTCGTCGAATTTGGTCTTGAGAGAATCGTACAAAGACTGACAGAGCGTGCCGTTATTGCCGGCGTTGTCTCCCGTAATGGCGAGAAGCTTAGGCTTGAGCCTGAGCTCCTCAAGCGTCCTCTCAACTATCTCAGCTAATTGTTTGCCAGTGTGAGATCTTTTGAGCTCAATAAACTCAATAACTTCTCTCTCCTCAAACTCCGGTGTAATCCAGTGCGCAATAATGGCGAAAATGGGCACCCGATTCGGTGCTGTCCAGATATCAAGGGTGAACGAGATGGTGGCACAATTGTACTCAAGCTCAATCTTCAGCTTCTCCTGCGTTCGACAAAGTCTGTATATATATGATTGCGTAACGTTATACGACTCCTGTACACACATGTTGTGTTGTGAGCCAAGAACATCTCTTGAAAAGCAGGAGTCTCGACAACAGAGAAGGGTTGTCGGTGTTTTACAAACCACCGGCGGATAGACTCCTTTGCCGTGAGTCTTGCTCTCTGCCTAGGTCGACCGCTCCATGCGTCTGCCTCTGTATAATCTCCTCCACCAATGGCGCGGCCGTATCCATTAATTCGAGCGTGGTGAGATTCCTTCGTAATACCGTGGATTTTTAAATGGTCTCCCATGCCAGAGGTAACCCTCGGCGGTTCGATTCGAGGACCTGGAATCTCTTCCGAAGAGTATTGGGATTTTGAAGGCACTCTATACAAGTCCACCGGAACTCTTGGAAGATCTTCGGCCCATCCTTATCCTCTGAGTAAAAGCTTCTGTCTATAGCTTCCCTCTGCATATACCAATAGACGTGGCTGTTCTTGTCTCTCTTCTTGCGAACATGCTTTTGTTTGTTGTCGGCCCACTTCTTGATAAGTCCGGCTTTCTCTGCGAGCGTCATATGACTACTGTTCAATGGCGGCTCTGGTGTATCCGCGTCGGGCATGTCATCATCTGACTCACAGTCAGGATGACCCGGGGGCGCGCAGACAATTGTATCTTCGCCAGTTGGAAGAGGAGAGGAAGGAGCCGGAGTTGCGCTAGAATCAGCGCGCGCGCGCGCGGGATTCCGAGGGTTGAATTGAGGACGTTCGATCCACTCGTAAGGTAATTAAATAAGGAGGGTAGATTGGAGTAATGAAGTTTTACCTGATCTTGGCTGAAAGGCTCGAGAATGGACGCGACACAGGTAGTCGGAACGACACCAAATAAACCACAATAAAGTGTCAAGGAGTCGGGGTTGAACGGGTAGGATAGGTCGTCGGTCAGGGCGTTGATTCGGGGCTGATCCGAAGCCGCTGTCGGAATATCGAAGCAGGAATTAGGCGAGGTCGTGGTAAAATAATGTCGTGGCAGTTGTCGCGAAGACCGTTGCGCCACGCAGGCAAAGGTGGATGGGCTGACGACCCTGTCTTTCCGACAGCAGTAGAATTAACAGGTGGTCAACTGAGCGGAAATAACGCGTCTGAACGCGGCTAGTTGGCACAATATATCCTTATCATGCAGATTTTTCGGGTACTTCCTGATCGGCTAATTTGTATGGACAAACAAGTAGCAGTCATATTGGGCTCGAGGAGTAGATAAGTCCCTAACAGCCTCCAAATCGCGAGCTGACTCGATTCGTGTCACTTCCAATTGTTCGCGCAGTATTGAGATGTTGAGGATCTGAACGCGTTTTTCGAATCAGCTTGCTGGGGGCTGTACAGCGGTATAATTATTATATTATATATCCAGAATATGGGTTGCCGAGCTTAATATGTGCTTGAAATGTAGTATTCCAACCAAAAAATGGGCTATCCATTGATTGCCTTCAAGATGATGTGGCATTTCTTGAGCAAATGTTAACGACATGTAACTATCGAGGGTTATATCATCCGAACGAGAAAATCCAGAACATTCGAGCGGCACTACATTTAAATCATGTGCATTATAAAATGGCACTGTTCATGAGCTTCATGGTGTTTTTTAATACTCCGTATAGGGTGGCAAGATTGCTGAAACGGTGGCGTATCAGGCACTGTTAGGTCGTTATACCACAATATATGGACGCCCTAACTGCCGTCCTTCGCCTCGATTTCCCCAGCGACGCCCCGCCAGACGCGGGCGGCGCGACTAGGATTTTGCCAGTGGAGTGTGGACGGTGGAATCCAACTGAAACACGCACAACAGACTTTTAAATACGCAGAGCGTCATCACAAGCGCGGCCGAACTCGAAGTTACCGTGTCCGCGCGGGCAAACCCTAATGATGGGGTCAAAGCAGCTTGTTTATTGATGTGTATGTGAGCCTGCCGAGGAAGAACAGGAAGAGGCCCTTGGTGGGTGGCTTCGGGTATTGACCCTTTCCTCCTGTATGTCCCTTGGCCGCGAAGCGGGGTGATAATTTTTTTTCGCCTTACGTTTCGACCATATCGCCATTCATTCACAATTTTTATGAATGAATTGAATGAAGACTCCTGATTTTTGATTCGTCGAATTTGAAGACCTTACCCGATTCGGCTTCATTCAATTCAAGGGTCCCGAGGCCGATTCGACTTCAAAATCTTCAAATATCAGCCCTATCTGTCGATCAGAGTCCTTCGAGGCACTCCCCATCTCTGAGCCGCTTGAGAGGGTGAACAGCCGTTATCGGTGATATCTAATATAGCCTCGGCCACGTCGTCTTCTGTATATTTCCAACGAGGCCGCGATGAAGGCATTTTTATTGCGTTGTGAGAGACTGGCATGAGAAATGTTGGGAAAGAGCGGTGAGAATTTGGTGATTAAGATGGTGATATTTCCTTGCAATGGCTTGCATACATCACGTGCCCCACGCAACTGCACGAGACCAGAAAAATGAATTCCAATCAATTTTATATCTATGAGAAGTGACCGCTTGCCAATAACTTCTATTTTGGCCAAATTCTGTATAAATGAAATAGTTGAGTTTTGGTGGTGGTTTTTTTTTTTTGCCTGGCGAAAGGGTGGGGTTGGCGAAAGGGTGGTGGTGCATGGTACTTATTGGCGTTTTTGAGGCATCTTTGCAATCGCTCAGGTACACACCAAATTCACTTCGTTTAGGGGATCCCTTCAAACCATTCATGAATGGCCTGAATTGGCCCAAACCCAACTTGAATCGCGAAAATTGGAGCTTGAAGATTTTGAATCAAGATCCAAAAAATTCAATTCATTTGATTCATCCTTCATTCAAAATCTTCAAAATCTTCACCTTCGTCTATCACCCCTACCTCGCCTTCACTCCTCTTCTCTCTAGCTCTACTTTAAAGTACTTCTGCACTATCCCGCTTCATCGCGCTCCAACCGAGCTGCTGCCACGAGACCCTCCACTACGCCCACCTTCGGGGTTTCCCCCCTCCATATGCCTCTAAACGCAGCCATCTCAAGAAGAGGGCGTAGTGCCTGGTACAACGCAAAAATCTGGCAGAAAAAGTGCTAAGAGAGGTGGAAGCACACTGTGGCTGCGGCATAGCAGCTCGTAGAACGAAGACGTCAGGTCATTGCTGTGTACATATTGCAACCATCTCGAGAATGTCGGGTGAAGCAGAAGCGCGATTCGGCCGGCAGTGCAATTTCATGGTTAACTAATCCTTTCTGGGCTGTGGCGGCAGCCATCCGAGAACAGGTGGTAGGATTGATGACCTGCAGCAAAAGATGCAGGACGCTGCTGACCAACGATCTCCATGTGCAGGGCACCCTTCTTGAACGAATCATCACCTATGCATGGCCTAAACCAGGACCCCTTAATCGTTCTATGCGCGATATTTATCTTCCATGTGTCTAGCCGTATTAGGCAAGGGCGCCTCACACCTAGCGGTAACTTAGCTATGCGCGTTTCCCCTCTGGAAATGGCGCTGTCGTAAGTCACGATTGGTGAGGCGCACTTACACTACCATGCCCCACCCCCCTTTCGGTAACACCCACCTTTCGGTAGCGCATTAGGAAATATCCCCACCAAAACCCATCAATTTCACTTACACCGATTCCAGCCAGCTTTGAAGATATTCACAAGCCGTCACTTGGAGTAGATAGAGGATTGATTGAATTCTACTTTTCGATGGTTGAATGTTTGTACAGGGTCTGTGGCCTGTGCGTACCTTGCACGCGAAATTACCATCCAACCCCTAATCTCCTTCCGCCTCCTGACGATGATTCTTCTCGTTATTCCTCCACCACATGAGCAAAATGACCTTAAAGCGGCCTCGGGTATTTATACGGAGGATATTATAGCTAATGCGATAATTGATGTCACAAAAAACGGCTTGTCGCAGTACCGCGCCGCCCAAAAGTATGACATACCTCAGCAGTCTATTTCCGACAGACTCAAAGGCCAGGTAGCCCTGGCTGATCAGATCCAGCCTCGTCAACTCTTGAGTAAGTCTCAGGAAGCTCGCTTGGTTTCTTGGATCCTCCGCCAAGAGTCTCTCGGCTATGCTCCTCCCACAGTCAGATCCGCGCATGTGTGGAGGCTCTTATGAAACAACTGAACAACGAGCGGACAGTGGGGCGCAACTGGGTCTCTAAATTCATCAATCGCCATCCGGACATCAAGAACAAGCGTGGGAGACGTCAGGAAGCTAACCGATTTAATGCTTTTACGCCTCGTGCGGTTCACTGGTTCTTCGATATCAGGAAAAGGAGTATGGATGGATTAAACCAGAAAATACCGTGAATGTTGACGAAGGCGGTATTATGTCTGGCTTTGGTGAGTATTTGGCTTGTCTTTCATTACTTTTACTAACCAGACTCTTTTTGCCAGGTTTGGATAGTCTTGTGGTTGGGAGTGCAGACCCAAAACGGAAGGCCCTTCTGAAAGGGCCACAGTCCGCAACTGGACCTCATTTATTGAAGCTATCACCGCGGACGGCCGTGTCCTTACCCTGGCATTATCTTTAAGGGCAAAGAACTTCAGAAACAGTGGTTCTTGACGGAATTCGGCAAAATAGCCGACTGGCATTACATAACGTCGCCCAACGGATGGACGGACAACCATATCGCTATTGAGTGGCTTGAGAGGGTCTATTTGCCCCAGACGCGACCAGCCGATGCCTCAGATGCTAGACTGATCATATTAGATGGACATGGAAGTCATGCAACGGTGCGTTTCTTTATCCACCTCTGTAGGAATTACCGTTAACCGGGACCAGGATGCATGGATGGCCACATGCTTTTTGAACAACGTTTATTGCTGTTACCTTCCTGCCCACTGCTCTCATGGCCTCCAGCCGTTAGATAACGGTGTATTCAATGCCTCCAAGGCAGCTTACCGGAAAGAACTTCAGAAATTGACCTGTTTGACCGATTCTGCGCCTGTTCATAAGGTCAATTTTATACGGGCATATGCTAAAGCGCGCGAGGTTGGAATGACGGCAAAGAATATATTGTCCGGCTGGAGGGTCACTGGGAATTGGCCGATCTCACGATCCAAGGCATTGCGGCATCCAGAAATTCACGCGGACATTGTAGAGACGTCTCCAAAGTCCGCGCCAGACAAGACTCCTGGCACCCGGAGACGATACGCCGTGATAGCTAGAGGCTTTGAAGCCCAAGAACAGACGCTTGCCGAGCACAGCAACAGAATCGCGAAGCTAGAGGAAGAAGTGGCCCGGCTGCAGAGAGGCAAGAAGAGGAGAGCAATTCCGAACCCGAACAGACGGTTCATGACTCTCAGTGAAGCTTTGGTGGCTGAGGAAGCCATTCCCAAATTAAAAGCCAAGAGATAGCCGTTGTGCTGAATTCTGACACAGAGGAGGAGGCGGTCTCAGAGGTGGAGACAGCTTCAGTGATCGAAGTCAAGGTGGCACCGAAGCCCTTCCAGTCACCACCAGATCCGGGCGAATGGCAAAAAAGCGCCGGTACATATAAGAGCGTCCATTTCTCTACGGAATGATATAATTTTTGTGTTTATAATGTTAAGTTCTGATCATATTTCATGTAGTTCAAATGGTAGACTTTTGGTGGAGAATTTTTCAATTGCGCTACCGAAAGGTGGGTGTTACCGAAAGGGGGGTGGGGCATGGTATCGACAAACATGTCTGACATAACATAGAGGTGTCGCGAAGCCAGATACTTAGTGTCATCTGAATCATTAGACAGTAGCTCCAACTTTTCGTAACATAAGGCAAAGGCAATTGGCATCCAGAAAGTGAGGTTATCGCGAGATTTAATTACTATAACTAGTAACTTAGTAGTATTGATTACCGTTTGGGACATCTCCAAAAAAGCAAAAAGACGTGCTAGGCTAGAGAAGACTAGATACATAAAGTATCCTGAGTATCCGTACCTGGGGTTGCCTCGAGCTAGTGGCGGTGTGTCACACACAATACGAGTCAGGGGTAAGCTTACAAGTGGGGGTCTAAAGACCCCCCGCCCTTGGGCTAATGATCGGCTGCAGTGAGATCGTGCTCGAACTACCCCTGCCAATTAGTTTGGGCCGCCACGACATGACGGGGGGACAAAGACGAGACAAGGCAAGACAAAATGTGGCGCGACGTGACAGAAAGCGACCCACCTGCGCGCCATCGAGGTCGGCATGACGTCTGCGATGTTGTGTTGCAGCACGTCGGTGCTGTAGTGACCCAAACTGTTGCGAAGCCGCTCGTAGGACCTCTAGAGGTTCCCTGCTTGCTGATGCTCCTGCTGAGACAGTCAGCCAGGACGTCAGGCCTGCTTTCTGATGCGTCGGCTGAGACAGTCAGCCCGGCCGTCAGGGACGGTGTCCTAGGAAAAAGTGGGGGGGGGGGCGCAGCCACCCCCGACGATTGACGGAGGTGTGAGGCAGACGGAGAAGATCGAGATTGTGGCCAGGAATAAAAGGGCGAGGAAGGAAGGAACAGACACAGAGAACAGAAGGAAAAATGGAGCAGCACCGGACGATTCTGAAATACTAACTTTATGCCTATTTGGCCCTACTTTTCGTGACACAAACACCAAACCTTGTTCCCCTCTACTCCGAGCTCATGCAGACCAGGGCAACCATATGTACATACATATATACATACATAAATACAAGATATATATGCATGTACGTATGCACAAACATGCCTCGGGGCCGGCACGTTAAACCTTGCCATGGACAGCACGTGGCGATCGCGGCCCTGACCACCATCTCGCCGTGACGCCTAAGCCATGTTGTCTTGATACCTCAGGGTCTGACCTCGACTGGCCCCGGGCACGATAGGCGTACCTTACATAAGGAGGCGGTTCCTTTCCACGGGCCCCTACTGCACTTGGCAGCAAAGACAATGCCCCGTCGAATGCTGATACGAATGGCTTGTCAGAGGTGCCGCAAGAAACGAGCAAAGGTCAGTCGATAGCCCACCCGAAGCCAAAGCCCAAAGAGCCCCAGTCGTCTGTCTCATCCCATATCCTGCCTAGCTGGATACTTTCACTGATTGGTTTCTCGCTCTCTAGTGTGATGATGGCCAGGCACCGTGCAAAAGATGCGACGAGGCCGGAGAAGGACGCGTATACGACCACCCGCGACGCAAGTCCAAAGACGATCTACGGGCCGAGATCGATAGTCTACGGCGGTACAACGAGGAGCATGCCCGACTACTCCGCGCAATATGTTCAATCAACGACGTCGAAGTCAGCAATGCCTTTATACAAGACTTGGTCGAGGGGACCAAGTCTCACCAAGCCATTCTGCAGGAGCTGGCGCACCTGAACGGTGAAAACGGGCGTGGCTCGTCAGATGGAGGTGAACAGGAATCATCGGCGGGCTCTTCCAGCTCCATTCTCGACGAAGCCGTCTGCCCGCACTGCCTGAGCCGACTGCCGTCGCCCACCATGCACCGTTCTGCCTCGGGCTCGAGCGACCTCAGCACACTGACCGAGGCTCCCAAGGCGACTTCGACACCGGCCCTGGCGGCTCCTGTTTCCCCGTCATTGCCCTTTGACGATGCATCACACGCGCAAACCGACAGGTGGACGTGCGCCGGGTGTACGGTGGCTTCGGTTCGGCAGATCCTCGACGCCCTCCTCACCTGGGACTAGTTGTCCTCAAGAGCCCCTGATGGGCTCCGAGGCCGAAAATATGCCAAAGTTTGGGCTACTTCGTACCGCGGCGCCGTGTCCCTGATTCGGTCTGTAAACCGCTTGCAGCCCCTGTTCCCGACTCCTCCGAAGCATAAACTGATGGGATTCCGCACACAGCATACTTCGTCTCACGACGGGCCAAGTCTTCACCATGTCTACGAGTTGCAAGCTACAAGACGACTCAATATTTCTAGACCAATCCGCCTGCAGTGCCGAGTACCTGTTTGGCGGCCAGTGCGGCAGCGGAACTACACCAGGTGAATGCATCAAGTTAGGTATACCCAGGAATTGTATCCAATCAGGAGTCGCACCGTAACACGGCTGCAGACCCTGCCCTGAAAGCACGCGGCTCGCAACTGCGCAATCTGCAGCTCATTCCAGCAAGAGTCTTCCAGCTCACGGAATGGGTGTACAAGCTCCTCTCATCAGCAACCCATACCCCAAACGGACGATTCGACACAGCCGAGGTCATGGCAGTGTATACCGAGTGTCTCGATTGGTACGAAGGATTCTTCTCCCTACCCAAAACCGGCGGCAGTGACACCCCCTTTGTACTCTTTATCCAGTATGTACACAGACACAAGAACCCGGCTCACAGGACTCGGGAGGGCCGAGAGACACAGAGGGAGAAGAGACAGCATCATCCGGCTGACTGCCCGCATGTAGCATGTACTATCAGTTCTGCCTACTCTGCCTATTCCGCCCTCTCGCCAACCTTGTCCTGGCTGATTCCGACGTCCGACCCCGCGAAATCTGTCTCCAGGCTGCGGACTCTATCCTCACCCTGTCGCAGTCCTACAGCAGGCTCTTCACCCTTAGACGCGTCTCCCCATTCGTCCCCTATTTTGTTTGTGCCTCTGCCCTTGCATGGCTTACAATTGAGTCAACATGCAACTCTGTGGCCTTGGCTGGCTCGCAACCTTTCCAACCAAGAAAGTTGTCCTTGGCGACCATCTCGGATGTTTCAAGCGTGGACGGGTTTAGCACCTATCAAGACGTGTCCCCTCCCCGACTGCCGCCAAAGTGCCCATAATGGCCCACGCAGCCAATTACTGGCAGAGATGAGCTCCAACCGTCGAATGGCCTCATCCATAGAGAAGATGCTTCGAGGATATCTTACCGAGTTATGGTGATGCAGAGTAGACTCGACAGAGTCTTGTTGTAACTTAACGGGTTCTCGCATCGGCCGGGGTCTTTTGCGGGCGCGCTTCAGTACAAGTAGCAAGGCAATCGCCTCACCGGGTTCGAACGCCGTTGGACAAGGCAGCCACAGTGCTTTTGCTCTCTTGCCAAACGCCGAATCTTGATAATTACCCACCCATTGCGTAAGTCTTCAATATGCATACACATATTTTCTAGTCCTGTTTTACGCGTTTGACTGTACTATGCCATGCACTGTCCGAATCCACCCTTCTCTTCGATGAATCGACGGAAATATTATCAGGGCTCAGGAGCTCAACCGCTTCCCCGTTTTCCTGTTGCCTCTGATCTGGGCTGGTGGCTTGAATGTCCAAAGAAACTGAATCGACGCTAGGAGATCGCCTTGATGTCCCAAGGCTTGATGACCCAAGCCAGTGCCTGTGACCTCGCAACCTCCTTAGCCAAGAATTTTCTTCCCCTTCGCAATTGTCAGGTATCTCTGAGCATTTTTGAGCCATTCCCTGCAGTTCGTCGAAGCTAGTGGTAGCAGTGAACGAGCGATCGCCATGTATCTTCAACACTCGTGGAAACCGTAGAGTATAGTACCGTGCATTTGCGGGCTTGTCGAAGCCAGATCCCACGAGTTCTACTATAAATGGATGTTGAAATAACGCCATTGGGCGTAGTCCACGGTCGGGGTCCAAGACCACGTCAAAATTTGGCGTGGACTCAATGAAGGGTATTTGTGTGAAATATCCATGTCGGTTGAGATATTGCATATGGTCTTTCGGGATGCCATGTTTGTCGATGATGTCGATGATGCGAAGTCTTGGCTTAGAATTATAACGGCAGACCTCATCTTTATTTTCCATGCATCCGATAAAAAACGACGTCCACCAGAGCTTGCCAATTCCAATCTCTTGTTCGTCCTCCGCGCTATGGTTGCCACCGACAATAGTGAAGTCGGCAGAGTCACCGAGGCCTGGAATGTAGTCTTTCTTGAGTTTGATGGATGACTTGTCGCAATCGGAGGTGAAGTAAGGGTCGTTGCAACCTTTCAGCACCAGTCCCTCCCACCGTTGTGTAATGGCTCGTGCGAATAGTTCAGTGAGCCGCTCAGCAGCATTGGCTGAGAGAATGCAACCACTTCGCGGAACCCGGCCTCGGCAAGACCAGGGATCCGGCGAACCAGAGACCGAAGTAGTCGTCGCCGCTTAGCATGGCTTTTCTAGCGCAGACCGTGTCGTCCAGCAACAGAAGATCGTAGAACATAATCATGAGATGTTCATTCATATTGAATGGGGGGTCTTGGGCCGCTCCAAGGAGCCGTCCTGATCGTCTGACGTGTTTACGAATTTTGTGGAAGGGCTCGATTACCCTACTGTCGTCGTTCCATACCAGCAGCTCGCCCTCCAGTATGCATTGTTTCTTGATCCTGCAGCCTGCCGTGCCAAGGTCGAGGCTTTCTCGTAACGCGCGATGAAGGCCAATGCGGTCGATGGTAGAGTCCTTCCCACTCTTGGAGAATATTTTGATGCAGGCTCCGGGTTTGCTTAAGTCAACATGAAGTTGACAGTATTCTCCATCGTATTTCCGCTCCACGCTCATTAGTCTTGAGCCAGCCAAGTGGCAGCAATGCTTGATGCTCCTTGCTTTCGCATAAGCTGGCCGTTCAATCATGACTCAACCTGCGGCTGTAGGACTTTCCTCAACTCTTCCCAGGGATTTACCACGGCCTGTAGGGTGTATTCCGGATCTCAAGTCCCCCTAGGATACTTACGGCAACTTGGATTGAATTCTGAAAACGGAGGAGATTCCACAAAAACGGATGAAATCTGCCCATCGCCAGTCTTTCTGGGACAGAGGCCGGATTGTAGTTTTTGGATGGCAATTGATATACGGGCCCAACCACTTTACTACACGGGCGCTCCTTACACGGGCTGTATGGACGACCGGCCAGCCCCACCAACACGGCCCGTCAGCCCACCAAAGGCGGTGAGACCACCACAACACACGCATTCGCTCACTAAGATGACATCTTCTACCGCTAATCTGATAACCTTGTCATCACTACTTCAATGAATTAATACGTCGCTATAATCCCCACACTCGGCGTCGGAGAAGCCGTTCCACTCTTCGTACTCCTGTCCATCTTGGCTCAACGATGATACTAGTGGAGTGGGCGACGCAATACGGCCGTGGCAATCGTCTCCACGTTCCCAAATAGCTTGCCGTGGGCCGGACGCTTCTCGACACTTGGCCAACTCGCGAGCCAATAAGGAATCTGTCTCCGCCAGCTCCCAGGCCAAGGTCAAGGCAGGCTGGAAGCGGGCCACAACCTGCTTGCGGGCATCGACTTCCTCCACCCTCAAGAGGCAGCGTAGACGCTGTCTCTCGAGTTTGTCTGCATCAGGAATTCCTGTGGTGAACAACCGCCGAGCCCCACCTCCTCGGAAGCTATCATCCAAGAATATTTGTGACTGACGTAGTTTCCACCAGGGCTCGTCGACGCCACGAGCCCGTGGTCTTGGCAGGCTAGTGAAGTAGCTTTCTGGCCATGTGGCGAAGAGATTGTATAACGCATCATCGTCGTTAAGGCCGTAATACGGTTCAGGATTGAAAGGAGGCTGAGCCCGAGCCCGTGATGCAAGTCTACGGCGCTTGCATGGAGGCAAGCCCGGAAGGGATCTACTACAGCCGTCGCCGCTGTTGGCAGCAGTTGGGTCTTTGTGCAATGTCATGCCGGTTGGTGCTTAACCGAATGATTGCTCAGACGGAAGGTTGGTTGTGGGAGAGTTAGTTGTCACTACAGAACTGGCAGCTGGGATGTCACCCCCCTTCTGCCAGGTGGTGGGGCTACAGACCCTGCCACGTGCAAGGACCAGGCGGCAGAATTTTTGGCCCAATTAAAACCGCCGCCCGTGTAAGGAGCGCCCGTGTAGTAAAGTGTACGGCAGGCTATAGGGGTCACTGTTGCAAAACCCAAAAAGTCACCGCGCGAGAGTCAAAATGGGTTAGCGGCATGAACGGCCCGCCCCACGGTACATTGGTCTATGTATCTCGGCCCAACTTCGTTGGAAAATTTGGCGTTACGGCAGGTGTAGTCACAGCTACGGGGCCGCTGCGGACCAGCAGCGCGTCTCTCGTCACAAACATATCAGTCGCCTATGGCGAAAATACCGCACGGTAATTCCAACGCTTTAATGTGTTCCCTTATTCTATCTATACATTCTCCTCGTCCTCATCCTCCGGCTTGTTAAGCTGCTATATTCAGTTAGCAGCCGAAATGCAACTCACAACTTCAGTTCGCTCACAATCCAGAGCCGAGCAGCCTCAGCGATGGTTTCTAACGCCATAAGCTTCCGCTCTTCGGGGGCCAAAGCGGGAGCTGGTCCTGAAGCGGTAGAAGGAGCCGCACTACCACCGCAAGCACGTAGCTGTTGTGCTGCTCGCTGCGCAGCGATGCGCCAGGTGTCATCGGGTTCGGCATCTGCAAGCTTGAGATGCCGATTCACGTCCCAAAAGGCACGCACGGCAGCAACAGCCCCAGCAGGGACCTAGAACATTCAACTCGATTAATTTCTCGCTTCTTTGGAGCAAACAAAGGTCTCATACTGGCCTGCACGTGTGAGCGTTCTTTGCGCAGTCCCAGCACGCAGCACCGGTATCTATCCCGGCAAATTAGTGAGGCAGACGTATACTACAGGGGACAATCAACGTACTGTCCTGGGAGGCACATTCATGGCCGGGAGTCTTGGTGGCGCGTGTGACGCAAGGACGGCATGGGAAGTCTCGCACCGAGCCGACGGGAGGGCCTTTTTGTCTGCTTCTTCTTCTGCTCGGGCGAGCAAGTTAGCAGCCGCCTCTTCTTCATAGAAGAACTTATTGGATTGTACGGTAATCTTGGCCGTGGATTTGCGGGCGTTGGGTCGGACCAATCCTCTACCCTTGACTATTTTATTCCTGCTAGGCGAGTCCCCATCCATCGGGCCAGCGACTGCGGTTTCACTTACGATAGCGGAATCTGCTGTAGACATGACAACGCTGCTGACCATTGGCTTTCCACGGCAATGATGATACAGAAGGAAAGGTAGGAACTAGGGTTGGAGGGGATCTGGGTTCTGTAAATATTTGCGGGTGAGCAGCGTCGATCTGTGCCTGGTTTGGTAACCGTTCCACGAACAGCCCCCTGGCACTAAGCCGCTGCGGGCCAGCGGCACCACCGCTGCGGGAAAACGCGGTAAGTGTGGACAGGCTCTTCACTGCAGTGAGGTTATTCGAACTGGTTCAATTGGTTATATCTTGTGTAACTAGGGAAACGTGTCCCATACAAACTGTGTGCAAAGACCTTCCTCCCTGTGTCTCACCTCTTACTCGCACGTGACTAGCGCGGTCGATTAGTTATACGTGCGCGATCGGTGCCTAGTGCACAGGTGGATCCAACACTGGAACCTCTTTCTAAATCGATGATCGCGCACTAATCAATCCACCAAAAACACACCAAACACAGCGAATTAAGATGAGATAGGAAAAACACGAACAAGAACACCAACAAACTCCTACCACGATGCATCACTATGTTGGATAGTGTGCTCTGACTGTAACTCTCCCTCCCCACACTGGGTGTGTTCTGCCACACGCCATCATGGGCCGCATTTCGAGCGCCGGATGCGCTAGCTGATTCCATCGGTCCCACGTTGGAATATGGACACGAGGATCTCCTCGTTAATGTGAATGGAATAAAGAACGACGGTAAAGCAGAAGAAGGGAACGAAAAACCGATTAAATCTCGTCGAGAATTGTTGTGTTATTGCGATGAACGAATCCTTCCACCCTCACGTTTAGCTGATTGTCGCTAATAAACTGCGTGAGGGCGCTGTTTGGTGATGCCTT